AAGAGGAAGTTTGGGGGGGTTGTTGAGGGGGGGGGGGGTGGGGGGAAGCAAGGAATAGATCCATTTGAACGGTTTGACATTCATGCATATTTTGGATTTACACTGTTTCATACTCTGATACTCATGCTTTACAGTTCATAAATACAGCGTTTAGCGTTTTGACCTATTGCCTATTGAAATTTAATTTGGAGAGTCACATATTTCCAACAGGTGACTGCAGTTGGGCATGCGGCTATATTGGCCGCGATTCAGAGATATGTACCAGCTCTGGTGAGTGCTTTCTGAGTTCCTTGAGTTCTGGAAATCATATTTCAAGGCGAGACATGTATCGAGCTTTCACTTTTATGTTTTTGGACAGATACCCTCCACATATGGACCCGAAAGGTTGGATCTCTTGAGGCAGCTTGAGAAGGTGAAGGAATTGGAAACCGGCGAAGAGAGTTCTGATGAAAATGTGGAGGAACTAGCCAGATGATAATCAATCCTCGACGATGTACAGTTGAAGTCGAGAAATTTGTTCCAATTATGAGGTATTCCTTCTTCCTTTTCCTGAAGTAACATTTCACTTAGTTCTGAATCCTTTTGATAGTAGACGGGCATACAGAAGTTCATTCCATGTGTCCGGCACTCCAGGCAGGCACCAGTGGCTGCAATCTTGAGGAGCAAGAGGCGGAGTTCCTGGTTCGCGATACTTGGAAGGGTGACCGTCCTTCCTGATCTCCGTTAGGTAGGTGATATTCAAGAACTGGACCTTCCAGTTTCCATAATCCATCTGTTTGACTGCGTCATAGATGATTAGATTATTTGATGGATCAGCTTCTAGATTTTCGGTATTTGTTTCTGGTCCCACATTCATATCACAGTTACCCCCTTCATTCCATGTGCCATTCCTGCAATTTCACCAGCTAAAACCACTTAGATTCCATTTCTTGTATTTAATTAAAGTCCCTTGAGGTTGGGAAAAACCGTGAATTTGTAAACAGTCATTAAGTACTTATTTAATATCTAACTTCTTTTTCTATTTATTCTATTCTTTTGTAAAGAAAATCTCAAGGTTCAATGCTGAAGAATGGAAAGTGTATGGGATTTGCACAGCCACATATTAATTGGGAGAGAACTCCCACTTAAATTCGTTCTTTTCTTCCCAAGAGATTTGCACTTAATTTCCTCTCTATGACTCTTTACTTTTCCCACCATTTTATTTTATTTTAGGATTGTCTGTAATTTGTTTTGAAGGAGAAGTCATGGTTTTGCTTACGGATGCTAAAAGTTCTACTACCACATAGAAGATTGTTCTTAAAATGCATCATATCTCGTAACACGTTCTCAATTCTTAACAAGAGAGGAATCTTGAACCTTTCATCTATATAGTTTTGTATGGTTTTTTGGGTGCTTTGAGTTCATTTAAAATAATATAGTTAATCTCGCGAAAGATCTCTGAGATTTATTTTCAATTCCATTTTCGTCATGGCTTTGAAAATGTCTTATATTTGGTTCAAAATCTATTGTTTTGTTTCAAACTTGATCCTTTTAGCTAGATGGTAAATATAGAATCTGTGAAAATTAAGATTAAAATTAAAAACGTCTAAAGTTTAGAGACTAATTGTGTAAAAAACAAAAGTTAACGTCCATAAATAGTGGCTAAAATTTTTTATGTTATCAATTTTAATTATTAATTTTTAAATATTTAACATTTAATTAACAGAAAGATCGAAATTGAAATAAAGTAATAAATTGAGGATTGACTGTGGGACATTTAATAAGTTAGGGATTAAAGTGGAATTGAGGCACAAGGATAAGTCTCAGAGGCCATTTAGGTGATTAACCAAAAATAACACTCAAAATTAACTTGCCTGTAATGCACGGGGGAGTAGCTGCGAAAGAAAATATGACTTTTTTCAGGATTTAAATGCCTTAACGCCCAAGACTTCCATGTTTGCAATGATCTACGAAAGGCTTCCATGACATCCATCGTCATATTTACTCTCTGGTCTTCCTCGAAATAGCAGCCCCTGAAACATTAAGAAGCCTAGCTTTGAGCACTTTGAGCACAACATTTCACCATATACGGCCGACAATACAGGTACTTTTCAGATACACCACAAAAGAATTCCTCATTAAAGGAAAGCATGCGAAATAAATATGAGTGGAAAACAAAAGTAATGGCCTTTAAGAAAATAATAATGATGATGAGACCATCTAATGATCGTATGTAAGAAATGAGTTATCACTACCATTATATGATAGTGCAAATGTTACAATATTGATATGCTATGATATGTAATAATAAGATGTCAGTAGCATTTGGTTGCATGAATGGTCATGTAGCAATATAGATACATTCATTTTCCTAAAGAAAAATAATAATAATAATCATTGTATGCACGTGCTCAGCGTAACAATCACTTGACAATCTATTTAGACCACAAGTAGAATGGAAAGAAATCTAACGCATGCCTTCATCAACTAACATTCAGAGAGTTTAAAGCCACATTAGTCCAAATCATATTTGGTAGGTTGATTGGAGGTATAATTTCAACTTCATAAAAGATAATAAAATCGAACCCTGAATGTTAGGTGAGAGAGTCTTAATAAGTCGTTCTTTGCTTCTATGTCACTATACATGTAATACAATATCACTACCATCAAATGATCAGACTCTTATCAATTATCATGTGATCATATTGACACGTTATTACATATTGGTGATTTATACATCTATTGTCTATTATTGTTACTAGTATCAGGATTAGGATTATTGTGCTTGGACATAATAAGGGAAAGGGATAACCATACACACTAGTTGTCTTGCCCTTGTTCCACCAATGCCCATCATTGAAAACTAGAACATCAGCTCCAGCCCAATTCTTGGAGTACCAGTGCAATTGATCGACTCTAATGGCGCTGAGCACTTGTTTCGACGAGTTCGGAGGTGGGCGGCCGATGGTGACGAGAAAAGGAGCTCGGTAGTACTCAACGGTGAGGTTATACTCCTGAAATCTCATAGAGAGAAAGCCCTTGTGCTTAGTAATGGGGCTTCCATTCACTTCATAGATAGTAGACTTGTTTGACACTGCTTGTGCAAGCATGCATAGCAAGGATTCCCATTGGTTCCTCCCAATAGAGTCGCCTGCAAACACTATTCTTCCGTTTCTACTTCTTTCTAGGAAGTCGCTGGCGTTAAATCTGAGAACAATGCGAAAAAACAGCTTGTCAATTTTGCTTTGATCCCATCGTACGTTGTAGATACACAAAATGCCGTGTATGTTATCGTGGTCTACCAAATATTTGTTAACAAGGTACATAAAAATAATGCACAATAACTGCTACAATATACAATTTTGCCTTTATTTTATTATATATATATATGTATATACATATGTATATATTACTATGTATATCGTCTTAATCAACCCTATTAGTTTTTTTGATTATATGTCAAGATATAATTCTCGAATGGGAAGCAAGAGGTACTAAAGGATATATTGGATATTTTTTCCTTATATCATCGAAGGGTTACCGGAACATTAATTTTTTTCCCGTTCTATTGTTATTATTGTTACCCATTGGTCAATTACACTTTTTATTGCTATTATAACTCGTACTATTGTTATTGTTATAACTATGTTTTCTGAGATTTTAGTACCCAGTATTTTCCTAACCTCTTTCTCTTTTGGCAAGTGCTCCTGTGTATAAAACAGCCATATATATATATATATATATATATATATATAGAGCACTTCTCCTCCTCCTTTTTTTTTTTTTTTTTTTTTTTTTAAGAAGCTTATATGACACTTTCACAATTAGCAACAATTGCTTCGAGTTTATAAATACATATATTAATTGTATATTTTGAAATCGTACTTTTAATTTTTTGTTACTCAAAATAAGGGGAAAAAAAAAGAAAGAGAAAAAAAAAAAAGGGTAAAAAAACGGTACGTACAAAAACTGTTTTGAACAGGCTCATCAGAACACATTATCACGGAAATAGACACAAAAGACAACCGTGCATGCACAAAATAGATACCTTAAAAACTCAAAGGCTCCAAGAGAAACTCACCTGGGAAGATCACAGCCGTTGGGTTGCCACCGCCATCTCCGATAATCCTCGTCTTTTCGCCCGTTTTGGCTGCAACGAAACCCGGGGTCAAGAAAAGGACAGCTTTCATCGTACAACTGAAGTGGACGAAGATCATCTCTAACCCATCTCCCGTACGAATAATAATGATCATTACCACAAACTGCTAAGGAATTAGGTCTCAAATTATTAGAAAAGAAACCGAAGCGAAATATGAACTGTGGATGAAAAGGGCTCACGAGTCTGGATATGGCGACGGAAAATATAACGAGGGTGATGAAAGAAAGTGCATAGCGGAGCTCTCTTTTGAGAATCACAACGGGAAAAGATTGAATAATTTGGAGCTTTTGTGAGTGTGTTTGATGTTGTTGTTGAGAGGTTTGGAGATCCATTTGAAAAGGAGTAATTATAGAATTAAGATTTCTAGTTTGAAATTTCTCGTTTGGTTTTGTATTTGAGAGAGAGAGAGAGGAGAGAGAGAGAGAGAGAGAGGGGTGTTAATTAGAGCTGTTTTATTGGCAATCAAGCAAATATATTTTTGTGAAGGGGTTATTAATTAGTGTTTTATTTGTATGCTATTCGTGGATATAATATGCACTGACTTTTTCTTTTTCTCTTTCTTTTTTTTTTCAAGGCCAAACTTATTATGTTGGTTTTCAATGTAACCTAACACGTCTTTTTTTTTTCCCGACAGTTGACGTGCACAGCATGCTTATATAGTCATACATACATGTATATATATTTCTATAAATATATATATATATATATGTATATATATTTCTCATGATATATTCGCACGTCAGATCACAAGAATTTCCAAGAACATGATTGCCCTTTGTATTAGTTATAATTAATATTAATGTGAATTCCATATCAAATTCTAGAATTCTTTCACTTGTCAAAATTAACACTTTTGTTTCTCCGAAAGTTCATGTATATAGACTTATAGTGTAGAAGAAGAGTAATATTATTGTGAATTAAATGAGTTTGGCAGTAAGTAGTCTTTCGGTATCAGTCGTTTTCGCGTATAATATAGTCATGAGAACTCCTACAACTACAAAAGTCGTTATTCTCAATTTAGTGGACGTATTATTTTCAGTTTATGTGTGTTTTTTTTAAGAAAATACTATAACGAATTATGAATTATAATTCGAATTATGACACGAATCCTCATACCAAATTACCCTTTAGTTTTGTGGTCCTCTGAAGGCCATGTCATATTATATATATAGGAGTGTTTTTTTTTTTTTTTATTTCTTAAGTTTCAGATTATCAAAATTACGAAAAGAGTTTCAAGCCAGAAAACAAACATCCAAAACTACGAATGATTGCGTTGTTGTATTGTACCAATGTATATATATGCACATGCCACGTAGTCATTATCAAGTTTTTTTTTTTTTTTTTTTTTTGAATAATGATAATTTGAATGCTTTTGCGTAATATTGGAGGATATGATACAATAATTTAGGTATTGGACGAGATAGTAATTACTCTAATATTCCTTTTTTATTTTTTTTGTACATCATAGCACTCTTCTTATTTCAAGGTGGCCGAATAATTATTCTTTTTAATTAGAGGACGGCTATATATTTTGTGTTTTATATATTTGTTTGGAATCTTGGATCTATAAAAAACGCTAATGACTATATAAACCATTTTACTTTTATCTGATTTTATTTAATTTTTCAAACATATGTTTTATTTTTTTTAAAGGAATATGTATTTGATTTTCATACTATTTTGATGATTTATCCTAACGTATTTGCGCTGATAGCAAGAAACTTTATTGAAAATTTGTGATCATCATATTTTTCATTGAATTCCATCTAAATTATCCTATCTATTTGAATATATGATATGAACCTAAAGGAACATTCCATAAAAGAAAAATAATAATAAAGGCACATTGAAAAAACATAACCTACCATACCTTCACAAGTCTTTTACAACTTCCCTTAAGAAAAGGGTTTTTGTCACGAGCCTCTAGCTTATTGTTTCAAATTAAAAATAAGGATGTTTTTCTGGTGCACGTCCTAAATATAGAACACCGATAGGTCAGGTTTGAGTAAAATGATTGATTAAAATCACTCGGCTCGTAGAGGATGAGAGTATGGGTACGCAACATATGATGCGAAGCATAATACACTGCAGTCAACCTGTCTGAAATGGGCTATTTTGTGGAGAGATGTGAACGGAGGTCTTGTCCGGAGTGGATGTCTTTCTTGAGAGGGTTGAAGGGCAAACAAAGAAGAAAAAGGTCCTGGGCTATTTTGGCGAGGAACATCGCGGAGAGGCGCAGTTAGTACCGGCGAGGCCGCTCAACTTGCAGTCCGGTACCGGAGAAGGATCCTTCGTTATCTGGGCGTTTCCGATCTCCAGACCTCTTGGCCATCTTCGGGCCTTTTCGCAGGGAAAAAATGGGGAAAATCGGCAACTTGCGGTGGTAATATTGTTGGCACCGCGTGACAGGCATTCCGGTTGCAGGGACTGGACCTCCGTTCTCCGGGCATTCTGCGAGAATCCGACGAAGCCCATACGGTACGCCGGTAAGGTTTCGCACCCAATCAGTGCAATTTGATTTGGTAATATCTCGCAAATATATTTTACTGTTCTTTCCTTTGCTTCACGTAATAATATTGTCCTATGATTCGTACAAGTTTATGGCTGTGGTGATGAATTGTGGGATGGTTTGTAATGTGGGATTTGCAGTGAATAAAACTGTCGGCGCGGTGATATACATATGTTTAATTTTCTTATGTATTGTACCGGCAGTTGAAGTTGTATGTCGTCATTTTGGGAATAATTTAGAGTGAAATGCTGCAATTAGGTGTAACGTAAATGTATAATTTGTGTATGAAATCCTGAATTTCGTGTTGAGCACGGTGCGGACGGAACGAATGAAACAAATTCGGGAATTTTGTTGATGTGTTTTGGCTTCAAGGTAATTTGTAACTATAAATATGCTTAATATAAGGGGGCATAGTTGTAGAGTTAGTACAGAATATAATGGCGGCTTGGTGAGAAGATGTATTTGATTTAAGTGTTGGTTTCCGAAAAGATTTCGGATTCGGAAGCGTGTGTCTACGGATCATATATAATAAAAGTTTTTATAAAATTTTTGCAATACTCTATTGAATATATTTATTATATGCAAATAAATTAATCTAATTATTTTATTTATCTAGTGAACGATTAGATTGATAACTTGAGTTCTTTAACCACGAACAACCCTCCCTCTAAGTTTTTTAAGAAAACTCGAATCTTCTTTGTCTAGTCTTTGATACCTGTAAGACCTAGAGTGTGGGCTCTAATTTAAAATTATATGATTAATCACTCGCTAATTTTGTCTTCCACCAATTTCAACGCATGTTACACTAGAATGTTGCACTTTGTCAAACAGAATGTTACACACCCGTAACAACTATGTTACACGCCTATCTTATAGGGGAAGGGAGAAAATTGTGTTCTCTAATTTTCTATTGTCTCATATTTATAAATACTAAGAGAACTATTTGTTTTAACTTGAAGGCTAAGTAATAGACAATTGGTTACCACTTTATTTCAAATCTCATTTAAAATACAGTTTCTTATTTAATTTTAGAAACAAAATTTTCTCCCTTTTTTATAAGATATGGCCAGCCACACCACAGGGAGATCTCCCTATGGTTGGCTTAAATTTCAGGCAGGAGGAGGAGGAAAAATTCCCTCTTTATTCAGTTTCCAATTTTAACTTAAATTCAAATCTAAATAAAGTCAAACTTTAATTTTCTTTTGAATTTGATTGGAAAACTTGTTAAAAAAACAAACCATATAACTTAGAGAGCAAACAGCTGAATCCCTAGTGGGATTTTACCTGTGTCACACGCCTCCTGCTCCTCCATGTGCCTAGGCGTGTGACCTCCTATGGTCCCACCATAGTGTGTTTCAAAATTAATTAATTTAAATAATTATATTATTTATTTCGTGACATTAATTTTAAATAATTCATCTTGTCTTGTAAATATTACATGAATTACACGAGGATTCATGGACTTATAATTTCACGGAGACAATTGTTGTGACGGAATCTGACTCGACACTCAATGTGGACGTTGGCTCCGCGTGCATGGATTCATGGGGAGGTATGTATCTATACACACTAGCTTTAGTATAGATGAGATAATGAGTAAGAAACTAATTGTACAGATCATTAATGTGTACCGCCGCTCAAAGGAGCATTCAGAAGGAGAGAGTTCCTGACGAGTAGAGTCCCGGTATTTTAGTTTCCAAAATACGTATGTTACGATAAAAATGAAATTAAGTTGGTGATAATGAGAATAAAACGAGAATGTAGAGACGCGGTTTAGTCATGAATCTTTGCGGTCTAATATATAACATTTTTCGCAGTCACAAAGGATCCTTTGAATCTTGGATCACATACCTGAAGAGGATTGACGTGAAAGGTGTCTTCATGGGACCACTTGACGCATGTGAAGAGGTAACCGCAATTTACTACTTGATGCTATAGAAAACTGTCTTAGAATGTCTGGTATGTGGTTAATAATACATGAAGCAGCGAGTTGTAATGTTTTGTTGCTCACGTTTAAAATATGCGCAGATACGGATTCCTGTACACGATGTGGACCGCTGGTTCCTAATCCGTCTGCGGGTGCAGAATGGGACAGTTGAGGTATGGGATTCCCCTACCACAAGAACCCAAAGCCCGAGGTCTCAATATGGTTGGAGAGATTGTAGACCCTGATCATTTCACCGATTTGAATTTTGTTATAGTAAAAAGTTTTTAAAAATAATTAAATTTAACTTTTTTATTATAGTAAAAAGTTCTAACATAAAGTCACAACTTAACTCAAATTAAAATTTTAAATCAGTGAATTAAACAAGCTCGTAGTATTAATTCTGGAGTTGAAGTTGTTATGCCAGTTCTACTATCTCCTCTGTCAGTCTTCCTATATGTCTGCCCCAACAAATTATTGACACGACAACTCAATTAAAAACCAGTTGCATGACAAAATTGAGCCGCCGCTATTTTTATCTTTCCCTCAAAGAACGATCTCCATTTATTTTTTATGGTCTCGTTAAATTTGTTAATTTGAATTTTTAATTTAAGTTGATATTTAATTTTATATGAGAATTTTTTATTGTAATATAAAAAAATTAGATGTGATTTTTTATGAGAGCTTTTAACTGTACTAAAATTAAAATCAACAACTTAAATCGGTAAAATGAACAAGACTTACATGTCTCTATTATAGACACAGAAATTTCTATCTCTCTCGCACAATTGACTTCTCTATCTCTTTCTTTTTTGATAACGTTTATTTATCTTTCAAACAACGAAAAAGGATATTAAAAATAAAATCTAATGAATTTTCTGAATCAAGAAAACAAGAACTCCCAACTATCTTTGTGATACTCTTAAAAAATAAGATGAATAAGCAAAATAATACTGAATGTGATGATGTGATTAGAAATGATTAATGATCTCGATAAGGGCTCACGTGGAGATTCGAACTCAAAAAAAATCTAGAGAACGTTTAGTTTATGTATTCAGAATTATGATTTAGAACCATTCTCATTTTACGTATATTTTTTGTGAGAAAAAAATACTGTAAATAATCATGAATCATGATTTAGAATAAAAAACGAATATAGAAAACAAACGTCCCTTAATCTCCTCGTGAGTCCTTCTCGAGATCATTAATCATTTCTAATCACATCTTGCATATCTTGCAATAATTGTTTTCCGGATTTTTTTTTCCTTTTTTTATATGTCTCTAATAGTTTCCTGGGTTGTTAAGGAGTCTAGTTCCTAGAGATTCATGAATAGTGTATGTGTGAGGGATTTGAAGGGAAACGTGCATAGCTGTAGGATTGGTCCTTGGTGATGATGGTTGAGTTTGTGGTAATTGATTTACTTGGGTGCTCGTGAGATTGCATTTTTACTCAAAGGAGAAAGAAGTTATGAATTTTTACTCTTTATTTTAAATTAATATTATTTTTAATCAAATTATTGTATTAATTAAAAGAATACTAAATAAGAATATGAGATAAAAATTTAAGGGTTGCTCTTTTTTTTGAATTTATAATTTTATTTAAGTTCATGTTCTTTTATAAAATTTGAGTTTGAACTTGAGTTTGGAGCTAAACTCGAATTCAAGTTTCTCCTTCAACTCAAGTTCATAAACTCGAACTCAACTTAATAAATAATATTTTTTCTATTCTTAAAAATACCATAACTTTTTCGTTTTAATTCTGATTGAAATGATTTTTTTCCATGCATTCACAATGAAAAGACGAATAAAACTCCATCCATATACTCTATTAAATTTTTTTATCACCATTGATTTTTTATTAAAATACCATCTAAATATAAATTTAAGTTTTGACCCACCCAAATACAAATTTAAAAAGATTCTCAATTCAAATCATAACTCAAATATGCACATATAAATATAAACTCAAGTTATAATTTTAACTTAAATTATAACTCAAATTAAATTTAATATTATCACTCAAATCACCGTAACTTAAAAATGCAAAAGAAGAACCGTTAGAGTTGTGAAATAATTTTAAAATTAAAGTAGGAGACTAAGCCGAAGCCATATTGCAGACTCGGCCCGGCCCATTTTCGTAATCAATCTGCCTACCCGCGAAAACACCACTGATTCTTCTCACACTGCCGAAAGGCGGCGAGAGCCACCCAAATCTCAGTCATGCTTCTTCGTCTTCTCTAATCAAACGATTCAAAATCACTCTCCAACATTTTCCCTCAAATTTACCATTGTCGTTTTTCCTTTTCCTTCGTCGTTCAAATCTGCCGCAGCAAAGTAATCGGAAGGAAAGGAAGCCCTGAAAATGAAGGTGAAGGTGGTTTGTCGGAAAATCTACGACTACGTTCGGTACGACCTCAAAGAAATTGCTTTCCCTTCGTCCTTGTCCGACCCTCCCCACATTAAGAAGCGCCGAAAGCTCACCTGGCGCGAGCGTTTCTTGGTATGTCGTTTTTCAAATTTGTCTCCTTTTGGGATTGTTTTCTGGTTAATTCAAGTTTTGTAGATTGTGAATTTGGTTTCTTTTTCGGTGAGATTTTGATTGGAATTTTGATTGAAATTCGTGGGAACTTTGGATTTCTACATATCACCCTTAGAGCTTCCTTTTAGCTGTATATAGTACCTGTATTGTAAATGGTATTATACAAATTGTACCATTTGTTGAAGTTTTTGGGTAGTGACGTTTTGTTTTTTTTTTTTTTTTTTTTTTTTTTTTGTCTATTTTTCCGTGGGATAAAGATTGGAATATGAGTTTATAATTTGTGGTTCGGGCTTAGGAGATTCGATTATTAACCATGTTTAGAACGGCAACTTTGGATGTTTTCATGTTACCTTTTGGCTGGATTTTAAGTGGATTGATTTCCCAATTCAGTGCTAGTATTGTTTTTGCAAATGCTAATGATGTATTTGGCGTAAATATATATATATATATATATATATATATTGGGGATCTTCTTAATGATATTATATAATTGTATCACATATAGGCTACTTTTGTATTTATTTATAGTTGTTGAATACTCGAGAGGGTAGTATTTTGATGCTAGTTCAATGGGGGCTCCAACATTTTCTATTGACTTTGTCGTGTGTCTATTCCTCTCTTTTGATTTGAGTGGAAGTTCTATTCTTCACCTTTTGGTTTAGCACAATGAGCTGACCAGAGTTAAATTTGGTTTCCATATGAGGATTTGTGAAAAAAATGTTATTGATTATTACTGTTACTATATGCTCTAGGTGCTGAAGGAGGCTTCTAGGCTTTATGCAGCAAGCTGGGTACGGGATATCGGTCCTGATCTTCGGCCTAATGATTATAAGAAAGATGAAGATAAACCAAATGAAGCAAAGAGCCAGAAAAAGGAGAAAGAACCCTCTACCTTGGAAGATCTTGGTAAGTGGACCTTTTCTTCATCGACAATGTTTCAACTTCAAATTGAACACGACTTTAACTTTTAAAATCACTAAGTTCTATATGAATTGTATTAAGAAGAAGAAGAACGAATATAATCTGAAGAATATATTGATTTCTGTATGTTGTTGAATGTACAGTATTAGCTATAAATAGCTAGATTAACTTCTAACTAACCAAAACTATATCCACTAAGATGTTTACACGTGTACACAGCTCTAACAAACTCTAAACATATTCTATAACAAGAAAGCTTCTATAACAAGACTAGTTAACTTCCCTAATAGCCCATCTCAAACTCAATGTGGAAAGACTTTTAACATTGAGTTTGTATCTAAGATCTGGAAACTTAGAATTGGATATGGGTTTAGTAAGAACATCAGCTGCCTGATCTAAGGCTGGTACATGCTTTACTTCAATTATTTTTTGAAGAACTTTTTCTCTTACAAAGTACAAATCAAGTTCCACATGCTTTGTTTTGGCATGCAAAACAGGGTTAGCAGCAAGTTGAACTGTACTAAGATTATCACACTAAATCACAGGTCACCTTGAACCTCAACTTGAAGCTCCTTCAGTAAAGTCATCAACCAAGTAATTTCTGCCACAACATATGCCAAGCTCCTATACTCAGCTTCAGTGGAGGATCTATAAATTGTATGTTGTTTCTTTGAGCTCCAAGAAACGATATTAGAGCCTAGATAAACACAATAGCCAGAAGTGGATCTCTTGTCATCAGGATCAGAGGCCCAATCAGCATCACAAAAGGCCACCAAATTAAGCTGAGGAGTTTTCTGCAGATGAAGACCAAAATCAAGTGTTCCTTTCAAGTATTGTAGAATCCTAGTATCGTAGAATCCTTTTCATAGGACGCCAATGAGAGTCAAGAGGCTTATGCATAAATGGACATACTCGATTAACATAATAGGACAATTCAGGCCTTGTAATAGTCACATACTGCAGTGCTCCAACAATGCTCCTGTACAGTTGAGGATTCAACACATCAGCACTACCAAAACCTGAAAGCTTGAAACCTGCTGTCATTGGAGTTCTAATGGCCTTAGCATTCTGCATCTTAGCCTTGTGAAGTAGATCTGAAACATATTTCTTCTGTGAAAGATGTATACCATCAGTGGTATGGGTGACTTGAATTCCCAAAAAGTAATTCACAACTCCCATATCCTTCAAAGCAAAAAGCTTGTTCAGTTGTGCAATTAACTTATGTATCTCAATGTTGTCACTTCTAGTAAGTAAAATATCATCAACATACATTAGTACAAAAGTGACATGTTGAGAATGAAACCTCATAAATAAGGACTGGTCGGACTTTGAGGAAACAAAACCCAGAGTAAGAAGAGCACCTTTTAGCTTGTCAAACCAGGCTCTAGGAGCTTGTTTTAGACCATAAAGAGACTTATGAAGTCTGCAAACAAAATGAGGTTGTTTAGGATCTTCAAATCCTTGTGGTTGGACCATATAGACCTCTTCTAGTAAGTCACCATTCAAATAGCATTGTTAATATCCAATTGCCTTATACACCAATCTTTGGTTAGTGCAACAGTGAGAACCACTCAAATTGTCGTTGGCTTCACAACAAGACTAAAGGTTTCATTAAAGTCAAAACCTGCAACTTGATTGAAACCTTTAGCTACCAACCAGACCTTGTACTTATTAACAGTACCATTAGGATTCTCTTTAACCTTAAACACCCACTTACTACCAATTGGTTTTCTTCCTTCTGGTAAAGAGACAAGTGACCAAGTGCCATTTCTCAAAAGAGCCAAATATTCATCGTTCATTGCTACTCTCCACTGTTCTTGAGCCAAGGCATCTTGAATTAAGGTGGGTTCTAGAGTGGCAGCATAAACTTTTGGCTTGAAAACACCCTTCTTAGCTCGAGTAATCATAGAATAAATGTTAGATACGTCCTTAACTTGTGTAGACAGTGTAGGCTGCATAAAAGGGGTAACAGGAACACCAGAACCTGCACAAGTAATATCAGTGGCAGTACATGGCACTCTATGGGAAACATCCTAATCAGTCACGTGTAAACTTGGTTGAGAAGGTTGTGATGAAACAGGAGATGTGACAGGTGAAACAGGTTGGAGTGTAGAAGTTGGATGAGGAAGAGGTGATTGAGGAGCAGGCTGTGAAGAGATGGAAGATGTACAGGAAGATGAAGGAACTAGAGGAATGACAGGAATAGGGGAAGGAGAAAAGGAAGGCACTGAACAAGAGGTAGATGATGAGGAAACATTTTTAGAAAAAGGGAAGACTAGTTCATCAAAGATGACATCTCGACAAACATAGATGCAACCAGTTTTATCAAGACACTTGAAACCTTTGTGATTTAGACTATAGCCAAGAAAAGTACACTCTAAAGATCTAAAATTGAGCTTATGCTTGTTATAATGACGATGGTAAGGGAAATAAGCACAACAAAAAACTTTCAACATAAAAAAATCAGGTTGAGTATGGAATAACACTTCAAGAGGGTTTTAAACTGCAAAACAGAATTAGGAAGGCGATTATAGAGATAAACAACAGTTCTAAAAGCTTCATCCCAATATTTTAAAGGCATGGATGAGTGAGCAAGCAAAGTTAGGCCATTTTCAACAATATGGCGATGCTTTCTTTCTGCAACACCATTTTGTTCATGCACATGAGGTCAAGAAACACGATGAGTAATACCATGAGACAAAAGCAAATCAGTAAAGGCTCTATATTCACCACCCAGTCGGATTGAATGGACTTAATTTTAAAGTTTAATTGCAATTCAACCTGATTTTTGAAATTGACAAAGGTTTAAAGAGCATCGGACTTATTTCAAAGCATGTAGATCCATGTATGGCGAGAAAAGGCATCTACAAGGCTAATATAGTACCTATAACCACTAGATGATTGCACAGGGGCTGGACCCCATAGGTTAGAATGCACAAGTTGCAAGGGCTCGTTGTAAATAGTAGTAGACAAAGAGAAAGGAGATTTATGTATTTTGCCAAGACAACATGCAGAACAAACTGCAGTAAGAGTTTTATTGCTATGTGAGATATTACAAGAGTTCATAACTGTGTTTACAATTTTAGCTGAGGGATGCCCAAGTCTATTATGCCACAGTTCAAAAACTAAACAAGAGAAAGGAATAACAGGATGTACATCAACAGTATTTGCAAAAGAATTGTGTACATGAAAATGTCCAGAAGAAGCAAAAGTAGATGTTGTGGAAGATTGAGATGGAGAAGAATGAACCAGCTGCTGTTTGGTGAGATTTGCTTGACTCTGATACAAGATTGAGATGGAGAAGAATAAACCAGCTGCTGTTTGGTGAGATTTGCTTGACTCTGATACAAGATTGAGATGGAGAAGAATGAACCAGCTGTTGTTTGGTGAGATTTACTTGACTCTGATCAAACATATACAAGCCATTCCTAAGATTCCCCTCCAGAAGCACAGTTTTGATAACCTGATCATTGACAAAACATTTGTGAGAATGAAACTCAAAAAAGACATTGTTGTCACTTGCAAATTTGGAGACACTCAACAGATTTTTGGTAATTTCTGGGACATGTAAAAGATGTTTTAAAGAAAGAATTGTTGAGGTATAAGGAGAACAAAAATTTGACTGACCAATATGTTTTATAGAAAGACCCTTACCATTTCTAACATAAACTTGTTTAGGCCCAAAATAATCTTTCATTTGCATCATATTAGAAACTTTTGAGGTGACATGGTTAGAAGCACCATAATCAGGATACCAACTGGAATCAGTAATAGTTTCTGCAGTTGCAATCATGGCTTGAGCAGGTGTTGAATGTGAGACAGTTGCAATATTTGCTGTAGAAGGGAAGGGAGGTCTGTGATTATTCTAAAATTGAGAAGGTCCTTGAAAAGGATGATCAAACCTGTAGTAACAATCAAACACTATATGGCCAATTCGTCCACACAGTTGACATTGAGGTTTTTTAGAGGACCAAAAACCGCGACCTCCTCCATCATTGCGTCCATGACCTTGTCTTGGATGGCAACCTCTTCGAGATGGAACAGAATGCTGAAACTGGGACTGATGATGAAAATGTCCACGACCATAACTGAAGTTTGGAATAATCTGAATTTCCTCTCTCATTAATTGAATGGACCGGAAGGGTATTTATACAAAAGCAAAAGATAAGATCTTATCCTAAGAGACCTCCTAGATATTAGGAACTACTTTACACATTTATAGGGATTAGCTTACAACAGATCCTTAGCTATTATCCCACGATTCTAGGAGCATATCACTTATCTAATACTCGGCTAGTTTGAATTTCAACACTCCCCCTCAAACTAAGCGGTATATACTCATTAGACCTAGCTTAGAGCTCAGTTCTGTGAAGTTGGGCCTGAAGAGGGACTTTGTAAGAATGTCTGCAACTTGATGTTGTGATGGAACATGACTCAGTGATATGATATTGCCTTCTATTTTCTCACTGATGAAGTGTCTGTCAATCTCCACGTGTTTCATCCTGTCATGGTGGACGGGATTCTTGGCAATTGCTATGGCTGATTGGTTGTCACACATCATCTGGATTGGTCCTGAGATGGCAATTTTGAGTTCATCCAGTAGTCGTTTTAGCCATATTCCCTCGCAAATGCCCTGGGCTAAAGCCCTAAACTCTGCCTCGGCACTGCTGCGGGCTACCACTGGCTGCTTCTTGCTGCGCCATGTGACCAAATTTCCCCAGACGAAGGAGCAATACCCTGAAGTGGACTTTCGGTCGCTTGGAGACCCTGCCCAATCTGCATCTGTGTAGATTTCTAAGAGCCGATTGGCTGTCTTCTTGAATAATAGTCCCTTCCCTGGATCCCTTTTAAGGAACCTGAGAATGCGAGTTACTGCCTCCATATGATCTTCGGATGGATTGTTTAGGAATTGACTAACACGGCTTACGGCAAAGCTTATGTCCGGGCGTGTGTGAGTGAGGTAGATTAGTCTTCCTACCAAGCGT